TATATATATATATATATATATATATATATATGTGTGTGTGTTTGTGTGTTAGTCTGTTTGGAACATTAGCATCAGGAATGTTTTTGTTCTAAAACTAGAATTCTAATGTTTAAATAGGTATACAGTAAAAACAAAAAAAGTGTTAATTCACATTCACTTGTAATTTTTATATGTTAATTTAAAAAGCATTCCAAGCAAATTTTGCTTTGAAACTAACTTAAACATTTTCATCTTCTTAGAATTAATGCACTTGAACATATATAAAAAGTTTACTTGGAATTTTCATTTGAAATATATACAGTATTTTCATTTTGTTGTACATTTTTGATGGTTTAAATGTAATAGTTTTACTTTTAGTTTTCTTACAATGACAATAAAGTTGTATAGTTTTGAGTAACTGGTCTTCACAGAGTTTTCTTTTTGTTACACTAAAGGTGGTTTAGTTTTAAGTAGCTGAGTTCCACAGAATTTTCTTGGGAGTGACTGATGGCTTTCTGATAGAGAAAAAAATGAACCACTTTCCGAAAATTTCCTAGGGTCTGACATGGCCTGGTGGTTAGGGCACTTGACTCATAATCTGATAGTCGCAGGTTCTAATCCCAGTCACACAGGGCATGCTTACCCTTTCAGCCATGGGGGCATTATAATGTGATGGCCAATACCATTATTTGTTGGTGAAAGAGTAGCCTTCCCTCTAGTCTATCACTGCTAAATTAGGGATGGCTAGCTCAGATAGCCCTCATGTAGCTTTGTGCCAAATTCAAACCAAACAAACATTTCCTATTTTAAGATAATAGTAACCTTAAGTTTCATTTCTTTCTGTTGTAGCAATGTTTGCATAACTAGTTACATAAATGCAAACTTGTATGATGTAAGAACTAAGCCTATCTGGTGTAATAACTTGTGAACAGTGTCTGAATACATAAACATAAGTGCTGTGAACTAAGCCTGCCTGATGTAGTAATTTGTCAACAGTATCTGAATATATAAGTATAAATGCTGTGAAATAAGCCTGTCTGGTAAAGTAATGTCTTAATATATGCATCACTAACTTATCAGGTAATTTTACACTATCAATCTTAACTCTCTCAGAATGGGCATCATTTTGTGCACATTCCACATTCAGGAGTTACATTCAAAATTAAATTACTTTCTTATAATATGTAAATAAACTTGGTATAAAAATGTAAAAGTTCATAATTTTATAAGGCAATATTAAAAAAAAATCCTCAATCTGCCCTAGTGTGAGAATTGACATTTTCTTTCTACATATCCTCTTCTCTAATGTATTTACCACACCTCCAAGAAGTAGGAAATTTAACATAAATTACTCAATATAAAATCATCATCACTCGGGCAAACCATAATTTTTATACTCTTCAATCTTATTTGGTTACAGAACAGTCAAATAGAAAATCAGACACCACTTATCATGCCTACCTGCCACATTCTTTCTTTCAGAATATGCCGATAGTTCTCTCTGATATTTAACACTGTATTATTTATAACCAATAGAAAGCCAAGGTTTCAATTTATCATATGACATATGTTGTTTTCTGTAAAGAGAATAGTCTATTTCACTTCCAGTTGAAAGTTTATTCCCATGAGAAACACACTGACATGCTTAACTGAATTTTTAACATCTCTTGTCGCATTGTTAGAAAGCCAGAAAATTTTTGATAGTTCTGAGAAAGTCTGCTTTTTGCATATTATTATTCTGTGTTCTTTGGTACATTATGTAATCAAATAAATTATTTAATGCAGTAGTACCATTAATGTAAAAAATGTAGGGTTAAGTGTCATCACCAGTCGATAGGAAAAAAAAAAGATCTAGGTAAGTACTTTATTTTTGTTTTTCATGTGTCTACTTTATTTATTATTATAAAAGTAATTAAAATGTAAAAATTAGAATTTTTTAGGTTAGGTAAGATAAGTTAAAATAATAATAAAACTTTTCATGAGGTACACTTGTGAATAGCCCCCTTGCATTATGTAATTCAATAGAGTAACATGGGCTCCAACTTTGCTAATTGATTTTTCAAATATTATGGTGGGAATATTAATTTAAACATAGTTCAAAGGGCAGTAAAACAACAATTTAAGTATAAACAGATATATACCTTTAACTCTTTCAGCACAGACTTGCTTCCTGGGACCGACCTCATAACCATTTTGTGCTTGCTATAGTTTTCATGCTATAACATTTAAATTAGTAAGCGATTGTTAATGAAATTTGGCAGATTATCAATAAACATTACAATGCTTTCATTTGCAAAATATCAGATTTTTATATTAAGTCTTAAGGTTTGTAAAGCAATGTTTTATGTCTTTTTTTTCTTTTCACATGTTGCCTATCTATCATGCAAAGTAAGATTCATTTTAAGATTAAAAATACTTTTATGCATCAGAAAATTTTCAAATTTCACGTGCAAAATTTTTATAATATCTAAATAGTTATCAAACGTTTCTTAAGAAAAAACTATTATCTGTTACTTACAGTAATTAATCTCTGTATGGGGTCGGTAGATTTGACTGATCATGCAACCACCACAACAAATTAGGATATATATATAAAGTTATGCCTCTTTCATTCTAGAACGAACACAGACTATAACACTAAAACATAAATGTTTGGACTAAATAGCTTAAATATCATAACATTATACATTTATATATATATATATTTATTACTTTATTATATTGATCTTTAGGCCTTGCCTGGCTAACAATACAGAAGTTACAACAATGCGGCTCACGTGCATTCGTGTAAACATGTCCAATAACATAAAACTGACCTTTGATCTGTACAAATTAACTTGGCTGTGTTTTAGTGGACTAGTATTTTGTAAAATACAGTCACATTTCAATTATTATACATTATATATGTATATAGATTGCTATTTTGAAATAAGTTCTTAAAATGAATTTTTATGAAAACATAGAACAGTAAATAAAGAGGAAAAGCAAACAATTCTCTTCTAGTTCTGACCTTTGTACTCGGTTGCTGCTTGACATAGGTTGCTAAGCCTTTAAAAATTTTGCATGTGGAAGATATGAAACAAAATAATTTTTTTTAGGTTTTATATATACCTTTGATTAACTAAAAATCATTAATTACTGCATCATTACCATAGAATTCCACTATAATTTATTAAGCTTAGTAACTAAGATGTATTTTAGTGTAATAAAATATAAAATTTAGAGCAGACTAAAGACATACCTTACTTCGTTGAAATATTGGTTCAAAAGAAAGAAATGCTGCCAAGCCCCTTTAAAATGGCTGAGAAAGCCACTTGGGGGACATTCTGAGCTTCTGATTTGTTATTCATGTCATATATAGAAGTAAATGTATATAAGGGAGCATTTCCAAAAATAGAAATAGGTGGGGGGGTGCCATTGTGTTTGATTTATTACATGAGCAATATCTTAGCAAATAGAAAAGATAAGACATTCTTATTTTATATTCTAGCTTGTCGATATCAGTAATTTGAGTTTCTAATTCGTACAAAACTATAGACTTAGTATTTTGACTTCACAAACATCTGATTTGAACCAGTACTGCACTCAACGTATCACAGAAAAATTTATATTTATCTGTTTTTTTAATATTTACTGGTAAATTAAGAAATTTAGTAATGTATAGTACAAATATGTGAATTATAATCTACAGTTTGATACCAAAGTTATTGACATAAGTTCATGAAATAGTAGTTCAATAAAATTTTGAATGCAAGTCAACAAATGAGATGACATGGCCTTTCACCTGTGACCCATCTCAATGGTTACGAGTTTAAAGCTATTTAATATTTATATAGTTTCATGTTACAATTTGAAGTCATTCTAGAAAGAAAAATGGGTAATTTAGATTTATTTTGAATTTGATTTTGATGATTTTGAGGTTAGTCAAATTGATCAACCATGTATATAGATTAGTGTAGAGAAAATAACAGATAAAATATAAATCTTTACTGAAAAATAACGTTTTATAATTATTTAGGAGGTTTTAGAGATTACACAAAAGAAACTTGAGATTTTTGAGAAGAAGAAAAGTATCTTTAATCTTAACATGAAAATCACTTTGCACTCTGAGTAAACAGAACTACTTGATATATTTACAGACAAATCTTTATTAAAACTACTTAATCAAAAATTAATTTTTTGTGTACAAAAGTCTTGTAATGTTTTCTGAAAGTTTGCCAAATTTTGTGAAGATATACATACTGTATTAAAAGTTATGGGATGGAAACTGTTAAAGTACAAAATGGTTACGAACTTGGTTGATTTGACCAAGCCCATGTGTTAAGAGTTAAATATTCCAGAAGATTTCCTGTTTCATTTTAACATTAAATTTTTTGTTAATTATAATGTTTATGGATGTACTATATTATTATACATTTTTGAACAAATGCTTTTGTATTTATTTAAAGTATTTGGTGAATTACGGTGTGGAATAATAAAAATGCTACAAGCAAGACAATGCCTGTGAGCTAAAATATGTAACTTAAAATCATATCATAATAAATATTTAAAGCATTTAACTTTGAAAAAAATGATTACTTGCTGTTTCAAATTTTAGCAAATTGTTGTGAAGTTCACAAATGTGTGGCAAGTCTTTATAGAGTGATAAATCATGTCAAAATATATTTTTATAATTTTCCTCTAGTCAATCAGTATAAGATTTTAAACTTATTACAAAATGTTTCATTGTGTTAATTTTATAATTTGACTATTCATATAGCAATAAATGTATAGTTTAAAACTTTCAGTCATAGAAAAAAATTTATTTTCTTGGAAATATTTGCCACTGTAAAACATGATTATTATATAATAATTGGTTGTTGTTGTGTATGATAATCCTGATTTCTTTAAAGATATTCCACTTGTGCCTAGTATGAGTAGAGGAAATGGACTAAGGGAACCAAACTTTGTGCTTCATTGGCTGAACAATAAGGAATTTGCTTTCAGTGAAGCAGCTGAACGTATGCTTCAGGAGGTTAGCCAAAAGGTGTTGCAGACAGAAGGGCTTGGGAGTGACATTGAACAGGGAGAGAGTGATGATCAAGATGTCCAAACAGATTCAGGTACAGTTAGCACATGCTTGTGAATTTTTTTTTTTGTTTAATGTTATACAACTCATGGGAATTACATGTTAACATCTTCTCCAAGGAGGAATCTACAACATTACGTAAAGGGAGAAGAGGAGAGTAATTAAAATCAACCACAGAGTAGACTGAGTTTTAAGTTTAAGAGCAACATATTTCTAAGTTTTTATATAAAGGTTAAACTGCTTGCTGTCCTAAAAAACCTAAATAAGTTTCTTGAAATGAATGAATTGTGTAAATATTTTTAAATGCCATTTATGTATTATTTTAGAAAAAAAACATGAAACAGTTGTTCTGTTTTTAGGTACCAAAGGATGAGTGGCATTTCAAGTTTCATTGTTATGTGAAATTGAATACTTGATCTTGAGTAATTTAGTAATGATATGTAAAAATCTTAGATTTTTATTATTCTTTACCTTAAGTTCTTTATGTAACATATTTGAATAAAAAAATTCTTAAAGGATTCACGTGGCAAAAATAAAATATTATAACTGTTGATAAAATTGATTTTAAATTAATTAGTGAAACATGTTCGTCTTGAATCAGTTAGGCAAATGCACTTTTCTCAAACAAAAGTACACCTGTACATATGCATTTACCTGATTAGGTTGAAAAATGTACTTGATTACTCAATTTATAAATTATAAATTTGTCCTGATTCATTGCAGAACCTTAATATAAAAGCATAATTATACTCTTTCTATTCTTATTTAAAACATTTTCTTAATTGAAACTTTTCTGATATAAATGTGGAAACCTTTCATTCATCCAACACATTTGTCACCTGACTTAGTTGGACAATAAGACATTCAAGATATTCACTTTGCCACAACCTCTTTATACACACTATAACTTTTAATGTGGTAAATCTCTTTTCATGTAGTTTTGCAAGCTTTTAGTAAATGTTAAAAGACTGTTGTACACCTTTATTCTGACTTTGTAATAAAGTATTTCTATAGAAGATTTCTCTTTGAATTTACAAAACCTTTACTGAGTCAGTCTCAATGTAAGGTGATTTTCATAATAAGAACAAAAATACTTTTTTTTTTAAATTCATTTTTTAAATTTCATTTGCTTAACCTCTGGAACTTCCAAAATGAATCTCAGAAAGTTTTTTTTATTCTAATTGTATCAGTCACAATCAGTTTGACTGACCTAGTAACCACCACCTAACAAAAAAGAAAATAATCTAAATTACCTTTTTTTCTTTTTAGAATGACTCCAAGTTGCAACAGATAATTGCACACAATGTATTTTTACTGCCAAAGCTAAAAGATATTTCATTAGCTTTATAACCACACTTGCACTAATCATGTGTTTGACTATTTTAAGCTTTCTTATCTAACTTAACAAGTTTCTAAATTTTATTATTTTCATTACTTTTATAACAATAGAAAAAAATTTACTTTCAAAAACAAGAAGTTTAGTATTTATGTCTGAATTTGTCTTTCTTAAGCTTTTGTATTTGTGTGATTTTTTTGTAATGATAATGTGTTCTAAGAATTTTTTAAAATTTAAATATGCAATTTAGAATACAATATATTGTCACTAATATCAAATAGAATGTTCAGAACTAATTTATTTGGCTTTCTAAGTGAGCTAGAAATTGGTTAAATAACTCTTATGTGGTCAAGCAGAGTTCCAATGCTTGAGTCGCGGGTTCGAATCCCCATCACACCATACATGCTCGCCCTTTCAGCCATGGGGGCATTATAATGTGACAGTCAATCCCACTACTCGTTGGTAAAAGAGTAGCCC